AAACCAAGCGAGTTATGGGACATAGAGTCTCTGTTTACAAACTATTTGCTGCGGTTTTGTCATTTTCCGCATAACTTCCAAGGTTTTTACCCGATTTTAATGACCGAAACGCTGAAACTTTGAGAAACCAAGCGGCTTCAAAGTCCATTCGGGTTTTTGGGAATCCGATCGATAGCAAGCGAGTTATGAGGCATAGAGTCGCTATTTACACAATTTAAAAAAATGTTTTGCTTCTTCAGCCAATCAAACCAGGCGACTGATGTCTAATTTACTTGCAGGGCAATCCACCCGGGGTCGTTCCAGTCCCAAGGGGCAGCAAAGGGCCCAGAAGTCTCTATCTGCGACGTTATGGCGACAGCTTCGGATTCACTCTTCGGCATCTCATCGTTTATCCGCCAGAATCGATTGCTGTAAGTAACCGAAAGGGATTTGCGGAGGACACTGGACTGTGCCTTTGCCCTTATTGTCCCCGATCTGCTGACCGTAGCAAAGCGGCGGCAACATGGCCAAATTATTTTTTTGATCCCAACTTGTTGGGGAACTAGAGGTTTCACCGAATAAATAATTGGCGGAAGCCTCCAGGCCGGAAAGGTTCAGTCAAGCTTTCCACTGTCTTAACAAGTCCGTTTCGGTAAATTGCGGCAACGTGGCAAGCGCGCACATTTTCTCCCAGTGCGAATCTGCGCACTAAAACGATTCATCTGCGCAGGAGGACGATGGAAGGCACGCAGCGTGTGGGGCGCTGCTCGCCCCCATGGAGACGATCTTCGTAAGGCAGGTGCGCAACGGCACCGCCGCCCAACAGGCAGGCTTGCAACGTGGCGACAGGCTGGTGGCTGTCAACAACGTGGCAACAGCGGGGCGCAGCTACCAGCAGGTGGTGCAGCTGATCTCCAACAGTCCCGAGTACCTCCATCTGTTGGTCGTGCCGAAAGAAGAGGACGTGCTTCAACGCGTAATTAATGCGCATGCCCCAATCAGACCGAAGTCGATCAATTGGTTTTTTGCAGTTTTTCCCGGACAGCGCCTACAATCCGCTCTCGAATCAGGACGTTTATGCGGACGGTGCGCCACTGGATCGCGCCACTGCGCAGCACTTTTTGACGCAACAGATTGCGCAGAGCGCGGCCGCCGCTGCGCCGCAGGAATTCCGCGTGGACGCCGCCTCCTGGTTCTATTTGCAGCAGCCCCACCTGCTGGCCGTGCCGCGCAACCGCCGTGCGGACGTGGGCAGGGGCGCGCATCAGCGCAGCGCTGACACTGCGCGCAGTCGCGCCCCCTTGGCAGCGCACCAGGAAATTTACGCGGAAATTCGACGTCCTAATGAGGTGGGTTTCTTTTCGCAGGTTAATTAAAATTCCTGCACGGTTCATTTGGGTGTGGTTTGTTCAAGGTACATTTTCGTCAAAAGTCGCGCGCACAGCCCCAGGTGCCGCTCTATCGCAAAATGGGGCGCAGGGCGAGCGAAGGCAGCAATTTGCTGGCCAGTGCCGACTGCAGCGCCACATCACTGACGTCGTCCGACGGCGATTGCGGCCACTACGGGGAGAGCATGCGCGCCATGCAGAACGACCCGCACGGCCTGCCATCTAGCGGCGACCCGCGCAACGACGCTGTCAGACGGGAGAGCACCAGTTCCCTCGCCTCCTCTGTAGCCGACAGTAAGTCTCTGCGCTCCTTTGAACACGAGCGCTGTTGCCAAGTTGTAGTAATTAGTTAGAGATTGTTTTGTGTGTGTCATTTGGTGAGAAAATTATCTCCAAATTAAAACGTGAAAATGGCACTCCTGGGCGTTTACTGGGAGACATTCAATGTTGCCGATTTTATCATCGCGAAAGTTGGGGAAACTGACTGTAAAGTGCACTTTGTTTTTTCAAAATCCGTCCAATACCAAGCGAGCTATGAGACATAGAGTCGCTGTTTCCAAACTTTTGTTTGCCCTTTCGTCATTTTTTGCGCAACTTCCAGGGTTTTAACCCGATTTTAATGATTGAAACGCTGCAAATTAAGGAAACCGTGCGGTTTTACGGTGCATTTGGTTTTTTCAAAATCCCTCCAATAACAAGCGAGTTATGAGCAATAGAGTCGCTGTTTCCAAACTAACTTTTTGGTCAAATTATTGCAGAAGTTTCAGGTGGTCGAACAAACTGGATTAAACCTGAAATAATCGGTACGTTTTGCACGAAAATTCACAGTTCTAAAAATTTTACTTCTTTGTTATTTTTTCGATACCTTTCAGGGTTTTCAACCGATATTAACAATTCAAACGTAAAAAATTTCAGAAACTCACCAACTTTAGACTAGATTTTATTTTGTCAAAATCGATCCAATAACAACCGAGTTATGAGCCATAGAGTCGCTGTTTCCAAGCAATTTTGTTTGCTTTTTCGTCATTTTTCGCATAACTTCCAGGGTTTTTACGCGATTTCAATGATCGAAACGCCGAAAGTTTGAGAAACCAAGC